ATGGTTGTTTTTTTTTTTTTTTTTTTTTAGATCTACCCATCCATTCAGACTAAGTCAAGGCTGCAGCTCAGCGGTCGTGAATCATGACGTGACTCTGAAGAAAAGCATTACTGACACAAGCAGAGAACCAGATAAAACCACTTTGTGGTTGGTAGAAATCCAGTCAAAAATCACTTCTATGCAATGTTATTACATGACTATACACCATGAGCTGAACTATTTATAGAAGTATGTCTGGCAAAATATGTCAGATAGAGGCTGCATTTTTTAGTTTTTCAGCGGCCTCGGATCTGGAATATTTTTTTCCAGTATTTTTTTAAATTTGTCAAGCGAACATGATTTTTATTTATTTATTTTATTTTTTTTGGATTTTTCTACAAGGAATGACATGTACGGATAACAGGCACATTATTTTTATTAAACAATGTTTTTTGTTATTTAAAATTGGTTTCTCCATGTAGAAAATGAGTAGGATTTATACCCAGCACTTTACTGCAAAATCAGCTGCATTCTTTCATTATCTCAGCCATAAAAGCCATTTTCAGGATCTGTTTTAATTAAAAGTTGGTGTGCACATCCATACAGTGTGATGATTCTGAATGTACTGAACCAAGCAGCTCTCAGAGGAATATGACATCCTATCTTAGGGCAAAACTCTAAACTGCACAGATTCTGAGCCCCATAAATCAGAAGACAGAACATAAACGTACGTACCTTTGCATTTGTTTGTGGTTTTGTCTAAGATGGCCTTGGTTGATACGATTTTTCCATATCTACAACAAGAACAAACAGAGATGCATTAAGAATTTTGAAACACACAGATATAAATGGGCCAGTTTGAACATTACCATATTTGTACCATGATTATTATTAAATTAAAACTAAAACCGCAAAAAAAAAAAACATTTTCATGACTTGAAATAAATTTAACATTATCTAAAATAAAATATAAAAACATACATTTCAGCTAGTTGCCAAGGTAACATTTCTCAAGGTAACATTTCTCATTTTTGAATTTTCTCATTATTCTGAATTACTAAAATAACTAAAAATAAATTAATTAAACTAAAAAAACTTAATACAAACTATATACAAATACTTTAAAATAATTAAAATAAAAATAAAACAGAAAATGATGATATTATATATTATATAAAATTATTATATAATATTACTATTACATTAACACTATAATAGTATGTCAATTTATATAAAAATAACACTGATATTTACTTGCATTCGAATATTGAAGAATGGAAACAGCACAATAAAATCATTAACAAAATTGCTTAAATTTGCAGAATGTATTGTGAATATATTTAATATGTCACTAGTATGAATGCAGTTGTGTATCCCAGTTGCTAAGTGAACATACAAAAGACCTGCAACAATATTTGAAACAAGATGATGGTGAGCAAATCTCTTTAAGATTTATGTCTAAAACACTGAAAATGTAAAAGAAGTGAATCTTAAACGATGCTTCGTTGTATTCTGGTATTTTCTGTACACTTCAGAAACCAGCACTGCAGGAGAAGGTGTCTCTGGAGAAGAACAGAGTGGGCAAAGTAGTCCTTGGGGGGGGAAATGTGACTGATTTATGAGGAGGTTATAAAAACTGCAGTGGAATGCTGTAAGGCACATGTGAGTGAAAATATGACCTTTGACCTCACAGCACGGGCACCAATACGACCTCACGAGTCACAGCCACTGATGGCGAGAAAAGAAAAAAGGGTCATTAAGCGCTTTCAATTAATAATCAAATAGGAGAGACTTCGTGAGATTTGAAATCCAATTACAGCAGATGACTCTTAAAGCCTGTGCCGGTCTCTCCGGGGCCACGGTGACCTCACGCTCTGATTCTCCTGGGGGATGAAGAGTTTGCACCAATTGACCTAATATTAATCAATTACGAGGATCTCACATCTTCCTCGTCCTCTTCCTGAGCCGCTTATGGAAGCCGTGCTTCAATCAACAGCTTGAATGCGTTAGCAGAAAAAGAAAGTAATTCAATGGTAATTCAGGGACTCTGAGGACATTCTTTCAGCATTTTGGTTCAAGAAGTGATTTTCCCACTGGGATTTTTAAAAAGACTTTGTTAAAGAGTTTGACAAGCCGTGATCCAAACCAACCAGCTACGAGGAGATTCACAACATTACAAACTTTGTCTTGAAGCAAAAAATGCTTGAAAATCGGAGAGAAAGACAAAGGCTTTTTCAAAAAAGACTTTTTCATAGCTACAATAAACATCATTCACTTCATATACTTTACATACATACATACACACACACACACACACACACACACACACACACACAAGATAAATCTCTAGTCTTCTTTTAATTCAAGCATAACTAGAAACACTGACATTCACTTTCGAATTGTTTTTTACGATTTTGTAAATTTCCATGTTTGGAAATACAATTTACAGGTTTGAAAACTACAGCTAGCTCTTCCTTCATCTCTTCTTCAAGATGATGACATCATTACCAAAATAACAATCCAAAGGTGACTTTAGTGTCACTACAAATCAAATTATTTGAATCTTGCGTCACAAAGATGTGTAACACTCCAAAAAGCGACACAACATCATGAACAAAACCTGAGAAAACAGAGAAAACTTTGGCTGCAGCATGCTTCACCAATGAGATTTTCAGAGATGAGGACGCATTTGTGCTTTCAAAAATCTAATTTTATTCCTGCTTGGTTTCAGACTGACCCGGCTCTTTCCACATCCTCAAAACACATCTAAAACATTACTATAAATCAACTGCGCTGCAAGAGCTTTCTCTAGTGTGCAAGTGCATAAAAAAGAACAAGTCTGTAAGCACAAATAATTTAACTGGCTACACAATTACAATCAGCACATATCTGATGTTAAATATTCAGTTATGTGGAGCAGGATTTCGGGGGGATGACGTTGCAGAAATAGAAACAACACAACCAGGAAAATAACCAGATGTGATGAGTGACAGGACAAGAGACAAACTCAGATGAACCAGGAAGAGTTCGCTTTTATCTCGTCTCATTATTGCACCACGTCTGGTTAGGACGCAGTGTAAAGTGACCATTGAAAAATGTTTGAGGAATTTTTCCTCCCTGGATTTGGCTCATTTCCAGCTAGACAGCGTTTCCTTAAGGACAGGCTCTTTAATCTGCTCTAGTCTGGATATATGCAAAGGTGAAAGGGTCTTGAAAGGCATATCCTCTAATTTTTAATGAAAATTCGACTTTTTTTTT